CAGGAATGCAGAACTACTTGGATACAATTATGTAAGCCCTATAAATTTTCTTAGGCTCCTATTTTTGTTCTTGATCTTCAGGTGAAAGAAAAAAAGAAGCAGCTGAAGAAGGATGGAAAACCTCCAACTGTAGAAGAGGATGATCCTGAAGTTGTAAGTCATATACTGTTCAAAGAGACCAGGAAGTACAAAATGTGTTTTGAGGAATGAGGAGTCAAAACCAATACAGAAGTATTTATTAGACTTGTTAGATCCTTGTTAAGTCCTTGGACTTAGAGAACAAATTCTGATAAGCCACTGTAGAGAACCATGTGTTGGGGAATATCTGTATATTTAGAAAATAGTGTAACTGTAGTGTAAAGAGTAAATGCATCATAAGATTACATAGATCAAAATACCCAGTTCTTCTCTGGGAGCAAGCCTTTGTTGCTTGCACATCATGCAGTCTCTTTTGAATTGAATTTCTTGTTCTGTTCTGAATGCTGGAACCATTTCTTTCTGCCAGCAGAGGCTTATAGAGTATAGAACCCACTGCAGCATGTCTAGAACGTGCTTTTGGTGACATTTTGTAGTAAGAGCTGCTTTGGTTGTTTCTTCCAGTAAAGCACTGGAGGGTGGATGTGATGTTCTGTAGCAAATCACTTTTATTTAAAAAAAACCCTTAGTTTTATTAAAACACAACTTAGTTCTTCCTAGCTGGTGTCTGGTCTGGAGCAGCCAGGAGATCCCAGAGGCTGTGACAGAACGATGATCCAGCAGTGACACCTTCAGTCTCAGCCATCACCTTTTTCTTTTCTACAAAGTGATTTTTTCCCTCTTGATACCACCACAGTAACCAGCCCCCTAACCATCTTATTTTCCACTCATTTTCAGAAGCCTCTTGCTGTTCTTTAACAGTGAAGTTTGGTTTAAGCATACTGCTGTTTCCTGTTGGGAGGCCAATGCTGGACTTGTCCGACACATGATCCAATGGGAAATGACTCTATGAACAGTGGCTGCTTTGCCATTTTTTGTCAAATAGAACATTTCAAGACTTCACAGAAGAATAAGAGTGCTTGAAATGAACAGTTCTGTTCACGTTCTATTGTGAATGCAAATTAAAATGAGACAAATATGAGGTTAATAAGTATTTGTTTCCTGGTGTCAGAGCAGAATTCAATCAGCAGGGGTTACACCTTCCCGTACGCCGCTCCTGCTGGCAGGGCAGGAGACAGGGTTATGTGGGCTTATGTGCTTCAGGTTCTTAGATAAACCAGACTTCTGTTTTGGGTTTGTGTTTTACAGTTCAAACAAGCTGTATACAAACAGACAATGAAGCTCTTTGCTGAACTGGAAATTAAGAGGAAAGAAAGAGAAGCGAAAGAGATGCACGAAAGGTAGGAGCAGCATTCTGCTTGTGCAGTTCAGGCTCTTCCTTCCCTCTCAGGCTTCCTCAAAGATAAGAAATCAGGGTCTCAGAAAAGTCCAAGATGGAATGGAGCTCTGGAGATCATCTAGTCCAGCCTTCTGGCAGGGCCTTGGATTAGATAACAAGGGTTCTGTCAAGCTGACTTCTCATGGTGTTGATTCTACCACTTCTCTGGTCAACCTGTGGCTTGTAGAACTCTATGCTTGAGAAATGTGAACAGGAAACTTGCCTTCCTGTATTTAAAAATGGAAATATTTGGTCTGCTGCTGTATTCTTCTGTGTGTACATGGAGGCCAGCTAAAACAGTGAAATGGTGACACGTTTCTGCATGTTTTTAGCATGCAAAGAATTTAATAGTAATTAAGTGCCAGAAATATCCTGTGGCATGTGTGATCCTGAAACATTTTAGGTGTCCTGGGCACATGTTGCCTGAGTGCTCACTGTGGGTGAACTTCAGAGAGCAAGGTTTCTGCACTGGCCAGTGAAAGCAGTCCAGGGGCTGGTTGCCTGCACTACTTTTGATTACAGATGAAAATTAGAGCCCAAACCATTTTCCTTCTTGCTTTGCATGCTCAGGTGTGTTTTAACTTCTCAGAATGTGTACTCTCAACAGCGTTAGGCTTATCACTAAAGTAATGCAGGAGTCCAGCTCGTTGTCATGCCCAGGAGAGGCTGGCTGGCTCCTCAGGTGCCTGTGTGCTGGCAGTGGTCCCGTTCCACTCTGCTGCTCTTCCAGATCTGCAGTGAAGTTCTATTTGGTGTGCTATCTTAGGTGTGCGCACTTATCTCTTCTGATAAGCACTTTAATCTGCCAAGAAAGAGCTCTCTGAGGTGTTTTGGGAGTGTCATTGTGGGTTTTTTCAAGTGGGCTGTAGGTTCACAGCTTGTTTGTGGCTTTCCTTCCAGGAAGCGGCAGAGGGAGGAGGAAATTGAGGCACAGGAGAAGGCGAAACGAGAGCGAGAGTGGCAGAAGAACTTTGAGGTAACCAGCACCTTCACTTACAGGTTGGACCTCAGCAATTCTTGACCATGCTGCAGGCCCCTGGAGGGAAGAGAGACTTTTGTCTGCAGGTGCTATAATTTGTCCCCTGGTAGGAGATCCTGCAGAAGCCTGGGCATGGGCCCTGTGTGGAGGAGATCCTGCTGATGGGCTTTTCCTGCTCACTTTCCAGAAACAGGGCTGCTGAATTGTGCTGTGTTTTCCAGCTCTGCCAGCAGCTCGTTCTTGTCCTTAGGCAGAAATTTGAATTGCTGCTTAGCCCAGGTCAGCAGTGACCAGTGAAACTCAACGTGGCAGCTGTTCAGCTGTGGACTGCTGCTGGTGCTCTCAGTCTGGTTGCTGACACTTAGAGAATCTGTGTCTCCTCTGAATATCAGAGGCCTGACTGACAGTCACTTCCCTCTGACCTACATACAGGGTATAACCCCTGTGCTCAGGGTTTAGATGTATTACAAGTAGCTTTGGGGTTGTTGTGCTGCTATTCTAGGGGTCACACCTACAGCCTGCCAAAATACTTGATCTAGCCTGCAGCTCTTCCCCTACTGCACACCAGAGGTGAAGTCTTGTGACATGCAGGGAGTGGTGGGCAGGAAAGAAGTCAGTGATGGTGTGTAGGACCTCATGGAAGAAGGAGCTAGATTGTTCATGCAGTGCAAAGCTGGATCCCAGTTTTATGTTCCAGAGGCCTTTAAAAAAGAGTGTCTGGAAGAGAAGTGTTTGAGCTGGACTGGCATCCTGTGCAAAGTGGACAACTAGGGTGTTTCTGGAGGCTCAGCTAGGAAGAGTTTGTGTTCATGTGCTATGCAACATGGATATAGGAAGCTGGATCTTCTGGAAGCCACATAATGCTGCTGTGTTGGGTGCACCATGGGCTTTGTCATGGAATGCCAGAGAGAGACACGAGTCTGTCACTGGCCAAGCTGCTGCAGCTGCTCTGTGCTCTCACACCAGAGTGGCCACAGAAGTGGTGTGTCATTGCTGTAGGGATGCAGGAAAGTGTAGCAGCAGAGGCAGTGTGAGCAAGTATTGTAAGCAAAGAATGATGGAGCAAACAGGGGAGCTGCAGAACTGCTGCTGCTGGAGCTCTGAGTGCCTGTGTGTCCTCACCCATGTCTGGACAGCTGAACCTCTGCACTTGCAGGTGCCTTCTCCAGCCTTGCTAGTGCCCCAGTTTGCATTGGCCATTTAATCCATGTGAACACCAGTATCCAAGCTGAGTGTTATCCAGAATGGATCACTGGAATACACAAGTATAAGAAGTTTATTTCTGCTGGTGACCATTGATTGAGGTCATTGAGGGTGATGGGAGACAAAGTCACACATGAATTCCTGGCTGCTTGTCTGTGTTCTAACTCAGTGTCTGCCTTTAAAATACATCAGGAAGGAATGTGTGTGTGGCTGCTTCAGACAATATTTCAGCCATAAGGAAGCAACCTTTATGTTGATATTCTGCAATTGTGGTTGTATCTCGTGTGTGGCTGCTTCAGACAATATTTCAACCATAAGGAAGCAACCTTTAAGTTGATATTCTGCAATTGTGGTTGTGTCTCAGTTTAAAGAAAACAAAACAAAACAAAACAAAACCAAACAAACCCAACACAAAAATCCCAACCTTTAAAGGGGCTTGTGTGGTACCTCTGCATTGCTCTCCTGGGCTCTCCTGCTTCTGCTGATTCTGCTCCTTGTGTTCATGCTGCATCCTTGTTCTGATCCTGTCACTTTACCCTAAAGACCTGTAGGTTTTGTCCCTTAGGTATGTTCTGCAGCAGTTCTGAATCCTCATAGGAGTATCTGTGCCATCCAGTGGTTACATGGTGTTTCTAAAAGCTATTCATAGGCCACTTTCAGAGCTAAGTTATAACTTGATGTATTTTAGAAGGAGCTGATTGGAACATTGTTTCTCCCATCCCACCCTCAAAATTTACTTTTTTAAGTGATTTTGAAGAATAGCTTCTACCAACAAACTGAAAGACATAATGTTAGACCAGAAGTTGCCAGACTTACCCCTAGGAAGAGTGTGATCACAGAATGGCTGAGGTTGGAAGGCATCTCTTGGGTCCATCTGGCCTGAGCCCCCTGCTCAAGCAGGGCCACCTAGAGCCAGTTGCCCAGGACTATGTCCAGGTGGCTTTTGAATATCCTCAGTGATGGACACTTCACAGTGTCTCTGGGCAGCCTGTTCCAGTGCTCAGTCACCTTCAGTAAGATGTTTCCAGATGTTCAGATGGGGCCTCCTGTGTTTCAGCTTGTGCCCATGGCC